CTAGGGGCTATTTTAAAAGCTCCTGAGTGATTCTAATGTGTAGCCAGGGATGACACCCATTAGTCTAGCCAATTACTTGGGAGAGCATCCCAGAGTCTGGGGTCCCCAAGCCATAGCCCCAGGCATAGCAACTTCTCCTTTGCCAACTGCCTTCTTGGTCCATCAGAGGAAGAGGAGATGGGGCCAAGACTCAGGCTAGCACAGCACAACATTAACATAGGAGTTGGAGCCTCATTCATTCATCATTCAATCACATATTCAATAACTATTTAATATAAGTTCCGTGTTAGAAACGGACTGCAGGATCCAGCCCAGTTTAAATTGGGCAGTTGGGCCTCTCTGAGGAGGTGACATTTAATGCAAGACATGAGTGGCAAGAAACCTGCTGTGTCAAGCTGCCATGACAAGCAGAGAGAAATAGTAGGTACAAAGGCCCTGTGGATGGAGCAAAGGGGCATGTGGCTAGAGTATAATTGGTGGATACCAGACCAATGGGATACAATGAGCTGGGCAGGGGTGCACCATGAAGGGTCTTGTAATTAGGGTAAGGAAGTGGCTTTGTTTTCAGTTTGATAGAAAACCCCTGGAAGGTTTTCAGGAAGGAAAGACATGACCTGGATCGTGTCTTTAAGAGACGCTGGCTGTGGTGGGAAGGGTGGCTGGTAGGGAGCAGGATGGACATGGGTGACTAGTCTGTTCCAGTGGGATGGCAGGCACCCCAGGGAGAGGATGAGCGCTCAGCTCCTCTGCAGTGGGGAATGTAGGTCAGGCAGCCCAGCTTCCTCAGCCAAGCTGCCAGAGCAGCCCCCTCGCCTGTCAGAGAAAAAAGCCGACTGAGATGTGTGGGCTCAACTGAGATCAGTGCTGACAGGGGATGCAGAGATAATAGTCACCCAGGTGCAAGGATCTGGGCCACTGTCTGGGGGTCCCTTTGTCCCCCTTCTCAGGGTGTCTCTCCCTCCACCTTTCACCCCCCCAGGATCTCCCTGGCCTGCAGGCCAGCCCAGGGGCAGGCCTTGATATGTGCCTGGAGCAGGTGGCTATATTTTAAGATCAGGGCTCAGACCTCTAAATAAACCATAAACACAGCCAGCTTCCCTGGTACAGAAGGAGAGAGACGGTTCTATTTCTCTTCAGCACAGTGGCTGGGAAATAAACAAGTGGCTCTGCCTGTCACATATACTTAACCCTCTGCAAAGACATCTGTCAGACAAACAGAGCTCCTGCCTCAGCCTTTCCAAGAAATAACTGAGATGCCCCAAACGTGGGCTTCTCTTTGCAGCCTTTAAGTTCATTTTTCCTTCAAGGTAGGGCGGGCATGGGGGCTTGCCCTTGACCCCAGGCAAAGCTAACAAGGGGCAGGTGTGAAATCTAAGCTGCCCGGTAGCTGGGAGGGGGGCAGCCTGGCAGGGGTCTGTGGGCCATGGGAGTGGACAAGAGAGTGGTGGAGAGGGAGGAAGTGAAGGGGAATGGAAAGGAGGAAGCAGGGGAAGGGGGGCAGGCGGGGTGTAGAGCCACAATGAGTGAAAGCCCAGGGGGCCTGGGAAGAGCACAGGTAGAGTGGTCACAGGTGTGGAAGAAACAAAGAGAAACAAAGGCAGAGGGGCTCCCTCTTCATGGGCCCATGGAGCGAGATCTCTCACGGCCATAAAAGAAGAAGGAATGAGCAAGAACAAAACCAGACAGGAATAGAAGGAGGCAGGCAGGTAAATAAAGCAGGGGAGGGAGGAGAACCCCAGAGTTACCAAAGCATTTCCTCCCTGTGGCAGGAGGGGGGGCTCCTAATTGGGCAGAAGATGATGTTTACACTGAGCTAAACCAGGGGGAGTCAGTAGTGAGGCCAAGGGAATGGGAGTGGTTGGGAATGGTGGTTGTGCTGCAGAAACCGCACAGACATGTGGTGGCGAAGCAGAAGGGGGCCTGTGAGCTTTAGGGTGGCCAGAAGCCAGCAGCACGCAATGAGGATGGGAGAAGAAGGTCAGAGGGAGCTACCGGGCACAGAAGGCCAGCCCAGCAGGTGCTGCTGTGAAGGACACCTGCAGCAGGGAAATATCCCAGTCGCTACTGCCCCCAAGGTGTGGGAGGGGGTGGAAAAGAAACAAAGAGGCAGCAACGCAGCAATCACGCATGTTCTAAAACACACACACACACACACACACACACACAGACTCAGCAAGGGCTGGCACACTCTCAGCAGCTTTCCCATGGGGATAAAGGAGACCCAGAGGCCTCCAGACTGTAAACCAGCCAAGTGTGGAGGGAGCCACGGACTTCAAATGATAGATCCAACAGACCTGAATAGGGGATGAGGTGTGCAGACTCCAAAGGCCAACCTGGACAGAAACAGAGATGGAGACAAAGACAACAAATACCAGATTCTCTTTCTCTCTCTCTCTCTCCCCCTCTGTCATACACACACACACACACACACACACACACACACACACACCTCTAAAGGCATCAGACACAAGAGAAAGGAAGCTCATGTGGCCCTCATCACCGTATTCTCCCCTCCCATATCTGCCTGCCTCCCTGGAGTTCCCTGCACTTGCAGATCCTGCAGGGATATGGTTGTGGAGCCCTCTCAGCAGGCAACACATCTGCACCCCCCCACACACATATCCAGAGGCAAGTAGCTGGCACAGGGACAGTCCCCTATAAGTGAGGCCAGGCTTAGATTCAGGAACCCCCACAAAAAGCCAGATCAAAGGTCTTCCCCCAGTCTCCAGGGAATCCCAAAGCATTGGTGCTTCACAAAGCACTTGTATAGGTGGGTCCTCAGTGCCAGGCCCCCAGAAAGAAAGGTTGTTTCTGTTCTGGCTGCCCTGTGGGTCCACAGCCACACCACAAAGGTTTTCCCCAGTACTTCTGACTGAGACTTGTAGCCCACTAGCTCCCTGCCAAGCTCACATCATGCACCAGTCTTTGCAAATGGGGTTTATGAAAAGGGCTGAACGTCCAAGGGGGGAGGGTTCCCAGAGCTGTAGGTCCATTTCTCAACTCAGGCTCAAGCCCAACAAGCAGTGACTTAAGGAACAATCTTTGGGGACCAAGAGCTCAGATTTGGGCCACAAGTCTCCTGGAGAATGGGGACACAGATACTGAGGTCATCTACACTGGCCCATACCTGGATGGTTCCCATGGTGTCTACAGGCACACAGTTCTCATTGTGTTTTACACAGACCCTGTCAGTCCCACTGAATGCTACACTATACAGCACACATAGTCACCCATTGTGATGCATACACTGACATGCCCTATATCTCCTGTTCTGACATACTGTACACACCTCCTCACCCTTCACAGTTTTCATTTTTATCAGCACTGCACATGCAGACATTGAAAAATCCTACAGTCCTCAGACTTACACACACACACACACACACACACACACACAGCCCCACCATCCTTTAAAGCCTGCGCACCACACCGGCCTGTACACTACACTATACACAGGGCGTCCACACAGAATTCCCCGAAAGAACTCTTTGCTTCCCAGGAGGTGGATCCCGCCCCTGGCAAGCTAAAATGAGCTGACCTCAGGCTTCCCTGCCCCTTTCTTCCCTCCCGCTGCCTTTCCCCAACGCCCACCCCCAGCTTCAGGAAACTTTTCATCAGATCCCGAAAAGGGGAAACCCGGGGTTCCTCGAGCCCTGCCCTTCCCCCAGGCTCACGCAAGCTACCCCTCCTTCCCCGGCTGGGCTCTCACCCGGCACCCAGAGGGGAAAGGTGGCCGTAGGCAGTCCCCTGCCTGCGCCCTGGGAGTGAACAGCTGTCACCGAGACATAGGGCGGGTGCCGGCCCTGCACCGCACCCGCAGGAGCGCAAAGGGGTCGCAGGGACGCTCGGGTTGAGCGTCGAGAAGCCGAGGCGGCGGCGGCTGCGTCTCCCGAGTCCGGGGCGGCGGCGGAGCCTGGGGCTGGGGCGCGTGGAGCTGTCCGTTCAGCACCGGCGCGCTGCGCCCCAGCGCGGGGCCGGGCCGAGGCGCCCCAGCTCCACTCCCGCTCCGGCTCCCGCGGGCGCCTGCGGCGCGGGCTGCTGTCTCGCTCGGGGGCCGAGGGGCATGCAGGTCGGGAGAAGGGCGCTCTGCGAGCTGCGGGGCCACGCAGCCACCTGGGAGCCTCCCGCGACCACGAGCGGCGGCGGCATCTCCGGCTGGAGACAGCAGGAGACGCTCGGCGGACCCCGCCCGCCGGCCCGGGCGCACACACAGGCGCACACACAGGCGCACACCCGGGCGCACCCGCGCGCACACGCACAGCCGGCCGCGGCGGCCGCGGCGATGCCAACAAGCAGGTCGGGGAAGTTTCCCGCCGGCCTCGGCCGCGGGCCCCGGTGCTCGCAGGTAAGCGCTTCCAGAACGCGCAGGGCGAGCCCTGGCAGCCCCGCTGGGTAAGGCGCGGCGCACGCGGCTCCGGGGCACCGCGCCAGGCGGGCGGGGAGGCCCGGGGCGGGGAGTGAGGGGCTTCCGTCTTGAGGGCTGGACGCAGGGGACGCCAGGCTGGTCCCCCACCCCAGCCTGGGCTGACGGACACAAGCAGCGAACCCCCACCCCCCGGGGCTGCGCGCCCCCACCTCGGCCCAGCCCTGCCCGTGCGCATCCCAGGTACAGTCCCGCCTGTCTGCGGCGGGCGGGCGGGGGCGGCTCCTCGGCCCGCCCACGAGCAAGGTCGGCTTCCTGCCCCCCCCCCCCCCCCGGGCTCTCAGAGTAAAACGGTCCACAGGACCCCCGGGGCGAGGGTGGAGGCGCGGCCACGCTCCTGAAATTGTACCCTCTCCTCCCAAACCTTTCCTGGGGAAGGGGCCAAAAACCCCATGAGCCTCCCCCCATCCCGGTGCCCGCAGGCCTCGGATACCCGCCCGGGGAGGGCCGAGCCGGCCAGAGACCCGCGGGCAGAAGAGAGGGTCCCGGTCCCCGAGTGCCCCGCGCTCACGAGGCGTGATTTCCTCCGCCTGCAGGCGTAGCGCCCCCGCGGCGCGGGCGGCCCGGAGTCTCCAGCATGACCCGCCAGAGCCTGTGGGACGCGTCTGAGGCCAACGTCGAAGATGGAGAGATCCGCATCAACGTGGGAGGCTTCAGGCGGCGGCTGCGCTCGCGCACGCTGCTGCGCTTCCCCGAGACGCGCCTGGGCCGCCTGCTGCTCTGCCACTCGCGCGAGGCCATCCTGGAGCTCTGCGACGACTACGACGAGGTCCAGCGCGAGTTCTACTTTGACCGCAACCCCGAGCTGTTCCCCTATGTGCTGCATTTCTACCACACCGGCAAGCTGCACGTCATGGCGGAGCTGTGCGTCTTCTCCTTCAGCCAGGAGATCGAGTACTGGGGCATAAACGAGTTCTTCATCGACTCCTGCTGTAGCTACAGCTACCACGGCCGCAAAGTGGAGCCGGAGCAGGAGAAGTGGGACGAGCAGAGCGACCAGGAGAGCACCACGTCCTCCTTCGATGAGATCCTGGCTTTCTACAACGACGCCTCCAAGTTTGACGGGCAGCCGCTGGGCAACTTCCGCAGGCAGCTGTGGCTGGCGCTGGACAACCCCGGCTACTCGGTCTTGAGCAGGATCTTCAGTGTCTTGTCTATCCTGGTGGTGCTGGGGTCCATCATCACCATGTGCCTGAACAGCCTGCCAGACTTCCAGATACCTGACAGCCAGGGCAACCCTGGAGAGGACCCCAGGTTCGAAATTGTGGAGCATTTTGGTATTGCCTGGTTCACGTTTGAGCTGGTGGCCAGGTTTGCTGTGGCCCCTGACTTCCTCAAGTTTTTCAAGAACGCCCTAAACCTCATTGACCTCATGTCCATCGTCCCCTTTTACATCACTCTGGTAGTGAATCTGGTGGTGGAGAGTACACCGACCTTGGCCAACTTGGGCAGGGTGGCCCAGGTCCTGAGGCTGATGAGGATTTTTCGCATCTTGAAGCTGGCTAGACACTCCACTGGCCTCCGCTCCCTGGGGGCCACCCTGAAATACAGCTACAAAGAAGTAGGGCTGCTGTTGCTCTATCTCTCTGTGGGGATTTCTATCTTCTCCGTTGTGGCCTACACCATTGAAAAGGAGGAGAATGAGGGCCTCACCACCATCCCCGCCTGCTGGTGGTGGGCCACCGTCAGTATGACCACTGTGGGGTATGGGGATGTGGTCCCAGGAACTACGGCAGGGAAGCTGACTGCCTCTGCCTGCATCCTGGCAGGTATCCTGGTGGTGGTGCTGCCCATTACCTTGATCTTCAATAAGTTCTCCCACTTTTATCGGCGCCAAAAGCAACTTGAGAGTGCCATGCGCAGCTGTGACTTCGGAGATGGAATGAAGGAGGTCCCTTCCATCAATTTAAGGGACTACTATGCCCATAAAGTTAAATCCCTCATGGCAAGCCTGACGAATATGAGCAGGAGCTCACCAAGTGAACTAAGTTTAAATGATTCCCCACATTAGCTGAGAGGACTTGTCATCTTCAAACCCACACTGCTGAGTTGCCTCTTGTGCCTCTGGCACAGTTCAGGCACCTTGTGGTTATGGTGTAAGAAGTACGCCCAACCCTAAAGGGGAGAGATGCATGGGATATGCACCCCAGGTTGCTTTTACAAGTATTTAGAATCATTTTCAGAGGGTGTTGTGTCAGACACCATGCCTTTGCACCCTTTAATGAAATGACACTCACTGGTCTTTGCTTCGTGGGCATAAAATGTTCACCTTTCAGCCAGAGGAGTACCACCCAGAATGCTAATTTTTCTGTTTATTGTGTGCTCTACTCTAGTGCTCGTGGCCCAGTACTGTCTGTGAGTTGTTTGTACTCTTGTCTCTGAGGTTGTCATGTGAGTTTTGTACAAAATGCTCCCACAAGTCCATCCAGTGAAAACACATCTGTGGGTTCAGCAAGAATGTGATGGGATTTTTGCTCAGTCAGGTGAAAACAAAATCTCAGTCCTTTAGCCACCGCTTTCATTTAGTTTTGTTACCAAAACAAAGAATGTGAACTTAAGCACACATGACCGTTGCAAGTCCGTGTGTTGTTTTTACAAATAATCTATAGCTCTGTGGCTTGCATGGGCACACGGGTCACCTTTAGGGTGATGTACACTGATGTTCATCTTGTAAATGTCGCCTTTAGAGAATGTGACTCGGTTAGACATGTAGTGATGATTGAAGTTTTCTTTTTGTTTTGTTTTGTTTTGTTTTCCAAGAAGAGAAGCACTAGGGACAGGGCTTCAGCTAAATAGGCCAAATCGTGGGATATCTGAAAACCTTTCAAAGTCAGGCCTTCATCTTTCCAAGAATGGCCATAGAGACATTTATTTCTGGCTGAGGTTCCTGCTCTAGGCCATTTGATGAAAATTTGCTGTGTCTTAGATATACGCATGTTTCTTGAAATATTTATTTTTTAAGATGTTTAGAAATAAGGTCTTCTTGTCTTTCTCAACTAAAAAGAGGTTTTCTGTCGTTTTAGCTCCCTGAGGCAAACACTATTAGATCGCTAGCGAGGGCCGTAGCTTGGGAACTTTGTTGCCTCCTCTGGAAGCTCATAAAATGAGAGCCCCTTTATATTAGAGCAGAATTTACCTAGATCATTTTGCTTCTAGGATACAGTATGTTATATATGATGCTCTAATTGCCCTGCAGTTCCTGGTATGACAGGGAAACCCAGCAGTGTGGAAGAGTGTACTCAAAATATAGACATGCATGAATGAAGTCTGTGTGGCTAACCCAGGACAGAAATACTGTAGTGCTTACTTTCATTTCAATGACCTTTTGTTGGGAGAAGGTGGGTAGAGGCCAGGAGCAAAGAAAGAGTTGTAAAATAAAATATCATTACTTCATAAAATGTCATAGATAACTGCAAACTTCTTGAAAAGCTTACTGCTACTTAAAAGACCTTTCAATTTTTAAACTTGTGTTGAAAGTTGAGAACACTTTCCTTCTCCACAATGCCCTCTTGCCTCTTCTTCAGTCAAACTAGCACACAACATGGTGAAGGGAACCTAGGGCAGCTCTGTAACATAATTCTCTAGGTAATCAGGTGGTTCTTCAGTTGGCTTCCATTACTGTTTGGTCTTTGGAAAGGCTACTGAATCCAGGGGTGTAAGTGAGGAGTTAGGCAGGCTTTCTATCTAAGGTTTGGGCCTTCTCTAAAGACGTCCATTTTTAATCTTAGCTGGTTGAAGAAGATGCAAACCTCAGGATTCTGTCAGAAGGCTTTGTTACTTATAGTTGCTGTAGCTTCTACAGAGTGGGCAGTTGGTTGGATGAATGCACTAGTCCCTCACACCCTTGAGTCTCCAATTCAAATCCTCCCATGAGACTGGAGCCTCACAGGGGGCATAGAGGTGGCCACCTCCTCGTGCCTGGTGGTCTGCCATCCACGTCTCTTTGTCAGAAGCATCAGAAAAGGTGAGATGACTTGGGGGCGACTGGCTTCCCAGTCAGAAGAGCAGGTTTGTTTTTTAGAATTTGCACATGGTGTACATGGACCACCAGATTTGGCTCATGTTTCCAGCACTAGATGGCAGAGAATTTACAAAATTACCCCAGCTGCACGGAGGGCAGGTGATGGTACAAATTTGTGAGCACTGTTCAATTTGTCAAGGATCATAGTTCTCGGGGCACTGAACATGGTGTCCATGGTCACTGACCATAAAGCCTGTGAAAAGCTGAAACAAGGAAGGAGGCAGAATAAATCAGTCACTCTCATGAGTATTTTTTCAACAGGCAGGTCTTACCACCAAAAAAGAGACCACTAGTGGTTACTCTTGACAGATGCGAAAGCTAAAAAACTGGACTTTCTGTTTTAGTAATGACTTGCATTTATTTGGTGCCTTTCACTGGGGGAATCCCAAAGTGCTTTAGAGACTGTCTTTTTAACATCTCTTGTACATATTTATGCATTTGTATAAAATATTGCTGTGTCCATCCTGGAACTTTAGTCACTTCTGAGAGTGAGAATGTCTTAATAGCATCGACTTCTCCAAGCTGTGGTTTCAGATTAGAGGGAAAGAGAACAACCCAGCTGGCTTGAGCCCTGGAGTTAATTCCCACAAAGGGTGGTGTCTGAATGTGGCGTAGGGAGAAATAACCTTCCTTTCCTTCAAAGTACCACCAAGGTATGGAGTTCACAAGTGCTCTCAGTTGGGCTCTGTGTAACATCTTAAGTAGCTGTTTCTTCTGGTCTCTGAAACTAAACAGGGAGGATCAGGTGAATTTTATGCTTTGTCTCTGGAGTTAAGAATACAATTATGAGGTGACATCATTGGCCACCAGGCTGTCAGATTGACCCATAAGCCTCCTTTAGGGGGACACAATAGAAGCTTCAGATCACTTATTTCCAGCTGTGGCTTAAGAGCAACTTCAACTCTCAGCATTTGAATGTTGTTATTTTCAATGCCATTGGGACAAATGTATGGACCAGGGTCTTCTGACAACATATATGATGAGCATTTCAAAAGTGCCAGTTGGAAGTGACACTGTGTCTCTATTGCATGGATAATGGTTATAGATTTGTATTTGCTGCCAAACACCCTCATTTCCTGGGTTTGTTCCTGAGGAGAGGTGTGTTGTAATGCCGAGCTGATTTGTAGTTCCTAAGGTACTAACTGGTATTTAACATTTGGATTTGTTATTTCTACTTCTCTTAGTACTCAAATAATTGAACTACCTACTAATTCTTGCCTCATTTCAAAGAAATGATTTGTTCTGCACTTTGGGAGAGCAGCAATCTGTACTGGCTCTGTGTTATCTACTTGAAGGCTTAACTGGTATTTCTTGTGTGTTTTAACAGCATGACTTGTTACAGAGTTGTAATTTTCAAAATTGAAAACGCTGTATTTGCGATGTCAGTTTTAACACTCATTAACACACTACTGTGCAAGCATTGAGATGGGCCCTGCTGAACCATTATGTCTGGTGGCTGAACATTAGTCTCCGTGCCTCGACTCAGGAATGAGGAGGAACGCTGACACACTCAGGACCCCAGCCCTGAAGACTGGATAGAAAAAGATTATTTATGCTTCCTTAAGGCACTTCAATTCCATATGGAGTGGTAAACACAACAAGGGTGTTCCGCACTGAAGACAAGAGTTCCTGGGAGAGGCTGGGCTTTTTGAGCATTTGTTGGGAAAGAAGAACTATTATTTATTTTTTTGTGGGCACATGGAAGTGGCAGTCTGTTCACCAGGACCTAGAACCTCCGGCCTGCTTTGTGGAAGGGAAGGTCATTTATTCTTGGAACCCTGGTGAAAACAGACAGCCTTAGGATTTTCCCCTTCCATACTGCCTTGCTTGGTAGCACTGAGGGGCCTGCCAGCTCCATTCCCACCCCTATCAGCTGCATTGTCCCTGCTGCTGCAGCACCTCCCCGATGGGGGTCCTGGATAAGCTAAGTGCCCTGTGGTGTGAATATTGGGGGTGCAAAGAACCAGCCCTCAGCACCTACTTAACTTGGTGGGGCCAAGTTAAGCTATTAGACCATGAGCTATTGCAAAGGCCACACTATACTATAGGAAGGTCACTGAGTTCTACTCCCAGTTTTGCCTTCAATTCTATGATCTCACGTACATCATCTGGCCTTTCTGAGGCTCATATCCCACTGCTACAAAGTGAGGTGGTTGGATTAGATCATCCCTAAAGCCCTGGCCAGTTCTCCATCTCAATGTAAAACCCAGAATTTCTGCAGGCCTCTCCACTCCATATTACAGCAGTGAGCAGGTCCTGATGTCCTTAAGCAGAGAAGAGGGACTGCTCACAAACCTATGTGCTTTCATTTCTCTCTTTAGTCCCCAGCCACGAGAGCTGACAGTTTCAGGAACAACAATACCAGGGAAATCTTTGGACTGGTGTCCATGCCAGGTGAATAGAGTTTAACATAAAGAACAAGTGTCTCCTTTGGGCTTTAAACTATTTATATATCTAATCCAAATTCCTGCTATCAAAAAAAAAAAAAAACATTGGACACAGAGGAAAATCACATTGATCCCATTTGGCCTCAGGGCTCTTTGCCATTGTGTGGGTAGTGTGTGCGGGTGTTCTCTTCTGCAAGACCTGCAGGACGGTGTGCAGCAAGCCGTGTGAACCTGTCTCCGGTCTCCTGGGGGTTCAAGAAAGGTGCTGAGGGACTCACATGCAGCCCTGGGAAGGCTCTTGAGGCCACCGGGGTCCTTACATCCCACCACATGGGGCAGAGTGCATGTTTCCCCTCCGACAGGTGTAGAAATGGATGTTTGGGGATATTCTGGGGCCAGGATGCCTTGCATCTTAAAAGGAAAAACAAACACCTCCTCTTGAGGGAAGAACTTAAATACACGCTCATATGGCTTCTTATCTCCTCTTATTTATCTCCTTTTAACTAGCACTTCTACCTGTGGACCTTGTCTGGGTGTTACATCCAGTTGATACAATAGGTCTTGAAAATCTGCAGTTTCTTTCCCTCGGTGACCTCATTTGTC